GGGCTCGAACCTGTGTCCCCTGTATTGGCAGGCGGATTCTTAACCACTGTGCCACCAGGGAAGTCCAGATCTTAATACCATATTTTTAGACACATTGTATTTGTCTGGTTAAGGGGATGGCTTAATGCTTCAGCTGCCTAATCTCATCCTTTATCTCTTAATTCTGACTACTTTCACTCTCTGAGGGCACCTTTATTTTCAAGTTTCTAAGACCTCTTGTGTTGTATACTGACTGCATCACTCCATACGTTTTTTCGGTGTGTGTTCTTGCTCTAGTAGGTGATGTATAAATCTACTTGGGTGGCAGTGTAGCCCAGTGGATAAGAGCATGCACATTGGCTTCAGGCCTAGATTCCTAGCCTGGTTGTGTTCCTTCCAGCTCTGTGACCTTGAGCATGCTTCTTAATCTCTCTGAGCCTTGCTTTATCTGAAAATGAGGCTAAAAATAGTGCTTAGGGTACAGAGTTGTTAAGATGAAATGAGATAATGATATAAAGTGCTTATCAGTACAGTGACTGCTATATAGTAAGCACTGTGGTGTTTATGTTATTATTGGTAGGAGAGATAAGACAAACTCATGAAACATTAAAAATGAAAGTAATTAGTACAAATACAGCAGCTGAGCAAATTGGGGAAATTAAATTATGACTAGGCTGTGATCTTGCTGCTCTTTTTAAATGTCTGTCCCCCCCTCCCGCCACCACCCTATCCCTAGTTTGCATCTTATCTCTCCTCCCTTCCTTCCCATGATTGCATTTAACTCAGAATGACATTTTTTTTCCACGTTCTTTTGGAGTATAAATGCTTTACAATGTTGTGTCAGTTTCTGCTGTACAACAAAGTGAATCAGCCATATGTATATATACATTCCCATATCCCCTCCCTCTTGCATTTCCCTCCCACCCTCCCTATCCCACCCCTCTAGGTGATCACAAGGCACGGAGCGGATCTCCCTGTGCTGTGCGGCTGCTTCCCACTAGCTATCTGTTTTACGTTTGGTAGTGTATATATGTCCATGCCACTCTCTCACTTCATTGCAGCTTTCCCTTCCTGCCCTGTGCCCTCAAGTCCGGTCTCTACATCTGTGTTTTTATTCCTGCCCCGCCATTAGGTTCATCGGTACTGCTTTTTAAAATTCCATATGTGTGCATTAACATATGGTATTTGTTTTTCTCTTTCTGACTTCACTCTGTGTATGACAGATTCTAGGTCCATCCACCTCATTACAAATAACTCAGTTTTGTTCCTTTTTACGGCTGAGTAATATTCCATTGTATATATGTGCCACATCTTCTTTATGCATTCATCTGTCGATGGACACTTAGGTTGCCTCCATGTCCTGGCTATTGTAAATAGTGCTGCAATGAACATTGTGGTGCATGTATCTTTTCGAATTATCATTTTCTCAGGGTATATGCCCAGTAGTGGGATTGCTGGGTCATATGGTAGTTCTAGTTTTAGTTGTTGTTTGTACGAAAAGGAAGCATGAAGTTTTAAATGGTAGTGAAACTTTGGGGTAGTCAGCTGTAATCAATCAGCCAAAGGTTGACTGAGTACCTGCTAAATCAGAGAGGTATATATCATGCTGTGTTCTCTGCCTGAGGCAATTAAAATTTGGCTGAGGAGTTAAGTTATAAGAGACAGAGAAAGTTTCCAATCAAGGCCGTAGAGGAGATGTGTCAGAGAGATGCAGGCTGACTGGGGCTGGAATGGTCCCCAGAGGCTCTCAGGTAGGAATTGAAGCTTGACCCAGATCCTGAAGGGTGTGTAAGAGGGAATGGCAGAGAAGATAGCATTTTTTTTCCCGTTTCTCATTTTTGTTTTGAGTAGTGGATTACTACTATGCAAGTTAACAATTGGCTACCTAAAGGAGTTAGTTCAAAATTAGTTAGTTAGTTTAAAAAAACCCAAAACCAGAAAACTCAAAGGAAAGGTGCAACAAGAGAGGACAAGCTGACGTCATGAGGGTAGTTTCAAAACAGTTATTGCCATCATGGTTTGCAGACATTGTTTCAGCAAGTCTCCTGTACTCAGTTCTTCATCAGTGATCTGAAAGCCACATTCTGTCTGTTCAGTGTTCCTTTACACAAAATTTATTTAGACATTTTTTTTTTTTTTTTTTGTGGTACGCAGGTCTCTCACCGCTGTGGCCTCTCCCGTTGCAGAGCACAGGCTCCGGACGTGCAGGCTCCGTGGCCATGAATCACGGGCCTAA